CAGAAGTCTCCCCCAATGAGCCTCCCACGCCCCACTTCTGGGAGCGGCGTGTGGACTGGGGCGGACGCCCCTGCGGGGGTCGGCGCGGCGCGGGGGAACGGGGACCAGGACCGGCAGAGGGGCTGGGCGGGTGGAAAGCGGGGGACCAGCCCTTCCCGGGCCGCCGTCCTCCACGTCCCCGCGCGCCTCGGCCTCGGGTGGCCGCGGAGCCCACGCGGCGCGAGGGGGCGTCCGTCCCCACCGGGACGCGCTCCCACTGGGTGCACCCTCCGCCGCCTCTCGTCGCCGCCGAGCGCCGCCGCCCCGACCCTGGCGGGCGATCCCGGGGCGCAGTCGTGTTGCTGGGGTGAGGAGCTGGGGCTGGGTGCGGAGTTGGGGCCGGAAGGAGGCGGTAAACCTATAGCTCGCTTGGGCAGACTCCGCGTCCAGAAATCGTGACTTGCAAGAAATCGTGCCTCGGTGCCCCCACGCCGTTTCTGCACGAGCCTGTGCCAGGGCTCGGACATCAGTGTGCGCTGACTAGTCCCCTCTGCTGACCTACAGTTGTCTTCCTGGAATGAGGAGCGAGCGCTTCCTTCCCCCTCTCCGGCATCCTTCCGCACGCGTGCGCTTTTCCTCTCCCCTTGCTTTTGGGACAGTGAGAGGAGAAACTGAAAATGTGCGTTCACAAACAAGCGCTCTCCCTCTCGCAGGGGCGTGTGCCGGGGCAGCCGCGAGCGTTTACGTGATGGGACAATTAAACACTCTGCCCGGAACGCGGTCTTGGGTTCTTTCGCTGCAGGCTTGAGCGCCAAGTTGGACTCCCCAGCTCGGGTCCCACTGGGTTTGCAGAAAGGAGTTAGCCGAGTGACAGCAAAACTTCCGCATTTAGCATTGCCGGGACGTTCTCCACCCGCCACCCCCGGCACAAATGGGGCTCCGTGTTGCTCTGCCCCCCCAAACGTGGATTTCTCTGCTCCCCGCCCCCTTGATCTTCGGAATGGGCCACCGCTTCCTGTCCTTGCCTCAACTGTGACATAAGTCAGGAATCTGGTTTACTTTTGATTACCGCTGATGAGGGTGAGGCTGAGGGAGCCGCTCAACAGCAGGACTGGCCCGGGCCTTTTTTGGGAAAACCCGAGCTCCAAGCTCACCCTCAGGGGCCATCTCTTGTGAACACAGCGGAACTCTCTGACTTTCGCTCAGCTGCACCCCCAGCCCCAGCGTCGTCCTGGTCGTCAGAGCCCAAGGAGTGTTTGAGAGCCCAGCGCGCCTCAGCCTCTGCAGCATCTTCCCTGGCTCTGAGGCCGGGAGGCCTGCTAGAGGGATGTTAAATACAAGCCCAGCGCTCTCTGTCCTGGGAAGATTGATGGGACACTTGACATTTGGGACATTTCCCAGACAAAACCGGGGCTAATCCCATTGTCCCTGCTGACAGTTCCCAGCTGTGAGCAGCAGGCCCTGAGAGTCATCAGTCAGGGCTGTGCATCCCAGGATGTTTCTCGTGCACCTGAGAGTTCGGTCCCCTCCTTACTGTGGGCTGCTATACAGTAGATGGGATGTTTTTGTGTTTCCTCTACTTTAACCTCTCATGTGACTACAGAAAGTTAGAGTTCTGTCTGCACCGTCCTCTGCCTATCACCATTTGACATTGGACGTCTTGTCCAAGGGGAAGTGCCCTTCAAGTGAGGTAGTAAAAGCAATAGCCGAGTGACAGCAAAACTTGTAACCAAAAATGTAACCAATCATTGCTGGTATCTGGTTCATTAGCAGCTGTTGGAGGGGTGGGGCAGGACCCTTGTATGTTACTCTGGGAAATATTGGCCACACAACTTGTAAGGGATGGTGGGCTATATTGTCCTTTGTACTTTCTTTTGGTACCAGGAATCGAACTCAGGACTCCTGCTTACCAGGCAGGTGCTATGCCACTGAGCTATATCCAAGGTCCTTATCCTTTGTACTTTTAACTGTTCATTTGTTTTTGTCTTTTTGAGACAGGGTCTCACTATGCAGTTCAGGCTGGCCTTGAACTCGTGGTGATCCTCTTTTAACTTTTAAAAATAGCGTTCTTTCTAAAGATGGAGCAGGGGTTAGAATCATGCCAATACAGCACATTTTTGCTTTGGCAAGCTTTTATCTGGAAATAGTATTTCTGTCCAGAGCACAGTGCCCAAAAAGACGTGGGTCCTTTTGGGCTTTGGTCTTAGAAGATGATGATGTTGTTTAACTGCTGAATATATAGTCTTGCTCTTTATTATGCTTTCTGCATTTGCATTGAGGGGTTTCATGGAATGTTTTGAGGCAATGCTGGATGAGTTCTGCTTTCTTGGTCAGGGAATTTTTAGCTTAGCACCTTTTGGGGATTGAACCCATATCTCATGCATGCTAGGCAAGTGCTCTACCGCTGAGCTACACCTCTAGCTATCGCCGTTCTTAAGAGGGATAGTACATAAATATGTCAGCATATCTGGAATTGAAGATGAATTGGAAGATTAACAACCCTTACATACATGAGATATTTTCTACACAGCAGTATTTAAAAATATGTAAGGATGAACTGCCAAAATTACCTGTACAGTCTTGAAAAAAAGAGTTCAAATATAACCATAAACTGTAATTGACAGTGAGTCACTTGCTCTAAGGTTGCCAGCTATGAAAAGGGCCTAGTTATACCCCTAATGATAATTATGAAAACTCCTTCTGAAAGCCAGTTGCATCTCAAATGAACTGTCAGTTTGGATACACACTCTGGATTCTACTTACTTACAAATTCTCTAGTGGGGATAGTTGTATCACAGTATTATTGTATTTATTGCCACTAAATGGCCCCCCAAAATGGTTAAAATGATAAAAAGAAAAGTATCTCATTAATAATTGGAAATGGTATTTTCTATTCACATATAAGCAGTTTTCCAAACTGAAATTTTCAGGGGCTGGGGGTGTAGCTCAGTAGGAGAATATGTGCTTAGTGTATGTAAGGCCCTGGATTCAACCCCCTGCACCAAAAATAAAATAGAAAACCTTGAGTATTCAAATGTTTCATAAAAATATTTGTTCTTATAATGTAGAAGCAATTTCATATGTAATCACTGAGTTTTGAAAAAGGACAAGTCTCACAGCTTAAAAACTTCAATAGCAGAAAATAGAAAGATTAAAAGTACATTTCTAAGCCAGACTTGCTGGCTCACACCTGAATCACAGCTACTCTGGAGGCTGATGCAGGTGGATCATAATTTCAAGCTCCACCTGTGTTCCTTAGTCAGACCCTGTCTCAAAGTAAAATTTTACCAAGGGTTGGGGTATAACTGAGTTGTAGAGCATTCGCCTGATGTGCACAAGACTCTGGCTTCAGTCCCTAATGCTGAAAACAATTATACAGTACGGTTCTAGCAGCCAGGGGTAGCTTGGCATTTTATTTATAAATCCAAACATATTTTAAAGCACATATAAAGCCTGTTGAAAGTAAAGGGAAATGAAATGCAATACGAGCAGTTACTGTTCTTGCTAATAGCTAGCTGTGCCAAGAGGCCTGGTAAGGACTGTGCATGTATTAGCTCACTTATTTGTACAGAAACCAATGAAACTGGTATATTCTCATGGTGTAGACGGAGAGGCTGGAATGTAGGTTAAATAACGCACTTCTGCTCAGGTTGCACATCTAGGAAGTAGCAGAGCTGTTCTGAGGAAAAGTAGTCTGTCTCAAGAAGCTGCATTCTCATTCCCAGGCCAATCCTCTCTTTTTATATGGTTCTATGCAAAGCGTTTCCTACAGTTTGAATTGGAAATATCAGGCAGTTTACCCACGTGTAATCTGGTTTTGTTTGGCCAAGCTGTGTTTGTAAATCTGGGCTGTGACGGTGACACTATAAAAGGACAATTACACCCTGAATTAAGTCCTGTGTAAAAAGCCCCTATATATGTCACTTTGCAATCCAGACAAAAAGTTCCCTTTGCGTATTCCCAGCTAGAGGGGTACACCCTTGATATCATGCATGGGGTCTGTTCAGCCCCCCTACACACACTCACCTGTCCTCATTCTGGAAGAAATGTACTTGTTTTGACCCTGTTTCACATGAGGTCAGTGACAACTCAAAGCCAAAAAAAAAAAAAAAAGCACTTAAGGTTCCATAATGATAATTAGCAGCGTGAGTGTGTGGATAAGGGCCGAACATGTGGCAGATGTGATAGGGGCACCACGTCCTCATGTGTGCCTCTTTGCTAATAGTGTCACACGACCAGAAACAGCGCATGGCAGTTTCTGATGGTGTCCAAAAAGTGGCTCAGCTATAATCCAAGATGACACCATCAAAAGGGATGGTAGAGGTCATTTAACCTAACTGTCCTAATTTTACAGATGAGAAAACTGAAGCCTGCTGAGGCCAAGTGACTTGTGTAGAACTGTAGCCAGCAGAGTTTGGTTTAGACCTGGGACATGTAATCCTCATGCTTGGCATTCTTTTCTCTGTCTGGGGGAAGCCATATCACCCAGAGGAATAGGAACATGGTGGCCCTGACTCCAGAGAAATGAGCTAGGCCATTATTTTGTCATCGCCAAATGCCTCACCTGTTCTGTACAAGGTGAAAGATGCCTTTTGACCCAGTGATTGGAGGAGACATGTCCAGACTGGAAAAAGGCAGGGTCACTAAGTGTCTAATGCTTCAGCAATCTGGGCAGTTTCCCTAGGGGTTGGGTCTCCATCACCCAAAGAGAATGAACCAGTTGGTGAACAAGTAGTGTATTCATAAAGCAAGCAATACTTGCTAAACCTATAGCGGGCTCTCAGATTAATGGAAGGGTTCCAAATTGGATTTATTGCTGCTGCTTTGGCATTGTTTTTTTTTTTTGGCAGTAAAATTTGGTTCACGTTTAGAAAATGTTAGTTCCTTTTTATGCCCTCTGGGATGTCCTCCTTAACATTAATGAGCACTGACATTAGAAGGACTGGTTCTGGCTTCTGCAGGGAAAAGCCAGTAGGAAAACGTTCGCCTGGACTGATTGGAAACTTGTTTTATCTTGGCAGGTTTGGAAGAGGACACACAGCGCAGTTGCCTTCTTTTTTTTTCCTGGGAGCTGACTTGCCAGCAAAGAAGTATGACCCAAGTTTGATGTTTGTGTCTGCCTCCCCAAGGCAGAGGGATCATCTCCTTAGAAGGCATCGGTACTATGCGTGTTATGAATTGTGTCTCCCTGGCCAGCGATAAAGGAAATGGGAATATCGCCACCGCAGCTGACTTCATGATCGGGCAGACGTCACCACCATCTCTTCCACCACCTCCACCCCCTCCCCCTCTGCCATGTCCTCACTCTGGGGGAGCCCTGTCCTCCTCCCCTCCCCCGCCTCCTCCGCTCCCTCCTGGACCCCCTCTGGCTCCTCACCCCGACAGCTTCGGCTCCCTGGGGAAGAAGAAGCGGATGAGGAGCTTTTTCTGGAACACCATTCCGGAGGAGCAAGTTCGTGGCAAGGCCAACATCTGGACCCTGGCTGCCCAGGAGCAGCATCACTTCCAGATTGACACGAAGACCATAGAGGAGCTCTTTGGGCAGCAAGAAGACACACCAAAGCCTTCCCTCCCCAAGAGAGGAGGGCCGCTGAGCTCATCCTTCAAGGACGCTCGAGATGAGGTGAGGCCCGGTGCTGCCCTGTTTTATGTTGGTGATATGTTTCCCTCGGTCTCTAGGCGTCACTGAGAAATAAGGCGAGTGGTCTTGCCCCGCAGAGGAGAGGTGGCATCCGAGAGGAATTGGGCTGAGTGGTGAAATGTGGGGATGTGCATGCTGATCTGCCGGTGTCCAGGGGGACCTCGACCTCAGGCAGAAAGCATGCTAGTTGGCAGTCCTTGGTCTCTCGTCTCAGCACCTCCCTATCTCTTGTGCGCCTGCTGCAGTTTCCAGGTGGAGAAGTGGTGCTCAAGTCCAGGACTGTTAGCGCCCGCTGACACGGGAAGCTTAAAGCTCCTAACCCAGTGATGCGGGGTGAGCTGGAGGTGTGCGGGGTCAAGCGGCTTTTACTAAATAACTAGTACTAGAGCTCTTGAGGATTTTCCCTCCACTTCTTCCTCAACTCGTGTTTTGAGACAGCTTTCACCGCTCAGATCTCTGAATTAAACTGTAGTCGTGGTGGAAAAGAGACTTCCAGAGAGCTGAAGCAGAGAGGTGTTTTCAGATGGGCTTTAGAAGAAGCACATTTTCCAGTTAACACTAAACATTTACTTCAAGGTGGAAAAATTAGCTATTAAACAACAAAGCATTCACTGAAAGCATGACCCCGGGGCTACAGATCACTGAATATTACAGAACCAACAATCACACTGGTCAGTATTTGCAGTTGAGACACATGGTGATAGTTAAGCTACCTTTACTTGCTAATAGGAATAGCTAGGAGGTGAGGGATTAGAAGGGAGGAATACTTGAATGGAAGGAGGAAGGGGTGGGGAGAGAGGGAGAGAGAGAAGGCGACATAAATCATCTGGTTTTTAATCTGTTGTGAAGGAGCAGTGAAAATAGGTCAGCAGAAGAGCTGGCTAGATAAGAGACTGGGCAGGGCCCTGGGATGAAGTCTGCGCCCTATGCATTATTGAGTTCTTGAGCCAGGAGCGTTGACCTCTTTTCTCTCTCTGGCTCAGGAACAGGTTGACTCCTTCTCCTTACTGACTCATTTGAGGCCCTTGGTAAGGCTGGTTGTACGGTTGCCTGTTGAATTCGCTGAGCATCTGTTCATTAAGACATGCAAGGAGCACAGGGATTAGGACGTGTCGTTGTGAAATAAACCACGTGGTAAATGGGAGAAGGAAACCGCCCACAGAACCAGGGATGCCTTCCTCGGTGCTGGACACAGGCTTTCCTGTCTCTTCCCTTTGTGCCAAGGTCCATTACTCACCCTAGCGTCTTTTCGATGTTAGAGGGAGCGAGAAGTCATTTCCTGGGTACCCCGGCCTTTGCCCCCGCTCCCAACAGAGGTTTTTTAGTGTACAATGGGTCGTGTGTGGCCGTTGTCGTCCGCACTCCTTGCTGAGCTCAGGATGCTGAGGCTATGATGGGATGGACGCTTGTGGGGATGGGCCTGGGGGAAAGGGGCCATTTGCAGACGTTTGTGATTGAGACTGCCGGGAGAGCGAGGCCACCCTTTCCCAGCTATGGCAGGGCAGAAGTGCCCGTTTCTGTGCTAGAACTAAAACTCACAGAAATGTCTCTCTTCTTGCCTTCCTCCACCCTTGCTCCTTAGGTTGATTTGTACTTTCCCCTTTAACGTCTGTTTTTAAGAAGTGTTTTGTAGGAATTGTTTTCTCTCCCCCAGCGTTGGGATCAGACTCAGGGCTTCATGCATGCTAGGCAAGTGCTGTCCCTCTGAGGTACATCTGCAGCACTAGCATACTTTTAATTGTAAGACGTGTAAAGTTTACCACCTTAACCGTGTTTAAGCCCACAGTTCAGTAGTGTTAAGTACATTCATATTATTGTGTAACCACCTCTAGCATCTTTTCATTGCACTGAAAATGCACCCACTGAGAAATACCTGCCCATTCTCCCCTCCCTTCCACTCTTCCACCTGCATTCTGCTCGCTGCTGCCATGAATTTGACTGCTCTAGGTACCTCATCTCAGTGGGATTGCACAGTATTTGTCTTTTTGTGACCGGCTCAGTTCATGTAGCATAATGTCCCAAAGGTCATGCGTGTTGTAGCATGTGTCAGAATTTTAAGGCCAAATCACATTCCCCTGTATGTCTGTACCACATTGTCTTTATCCCTTCACCCACTGATGGACAGCTGGGGGATGCTCTCACCTTGTGTGAGTGATGCTGCTGCGGACACTTCACTTTGGACACTTGTAGGACTTACTCTGAGAGACGGCATACTGGAAAGAACATCAGCGTGACCGAGGGTCACAGGATGGTCTAATTTTGCAGCCCTTCTGTGCTCGGTTATAAGTAGCTTGGACGGATCCATTCAAGCACATTCTACATACCCCCTCAGAGAACCAAGGTCGTTCCAAATCATTCTCAATATTTCATGTTATCTCCAGCACAGCCAGAAGTATTAGATATACTTTTTTTAGTAAAAGAATATGGTACATGCTATTTTCTTTCCTCATAGATTTTCTTTGAAAGAGATCATAGCTCAGCAGTTATAGAGTCTGACGAAAATCAATAATAAATCTTCCAATTCACCCTGCAGTAAGTGGAGTCCAGGGTCGAAAGTAATAGTCCACACCTCTGTTCGGTGGACTGGAGAGTATGCAGCATGAACGTGTTAGGACACAGGCTGTAATTCCAGAGGATCAGATTGTCCCCTTGAAATGTAGTGGCCTCCCACAGAAGTGATCTAGCTGTGTGTGATTGGCTCATACTGGAAAGGGCTTAGAAAGCATTACAAATAAATTCCATTATAGTCCAGAAAAAGAATTTGCTAGAATATAAGGAAAATTTTGGTTGGGGAATGGCTGGGTTTAGAACAGCACAAAAAGTAATAAATTTGAACATTTAATAGTGGCAAGCAAGGTTGTGAAATACTACTATCCTTGTGTCTTTGTTACCTAAAAATTAACTTGCGGAAAATACAGATGTGATGGTACAATAGTAATTAAGCTGTGATAAAGTAATTGGAGACAACACAGATGCATTAGTGGGGAGCATAATGAAAGGACTCCGCTCAGAATCACCTTCTTTCCTGAGTCTGCTGATCTCATCCGAGAAGCCCGGAAGCTCCATCCGTCCCTGCCAGATGCCCTTCAGTCCTCACTTGTTTGTGAGTCCCTGTAGGATCTCAACAGCTCTTAAGGGAAAGGATGTGCCTTAGCTATTGGGTTTCCTCCACAGCAATTAAAGGTAACCGAGTAGGGCAGAACTGAAAAAGGAACTGTCTTCCAAGTTGTCAAGAGATCAAAATTGGGGTTCGCTAAGAAGATGTAAATACTAAAGCATTTGCCTTCATTCTCTGTGATGTTCATAGCATGGTACTAGATGGACATTGATTAAGTAACTAACGTAGCTCACTGGTCAGAGAGGACTGGAAAGAGAGAGGAAGAGAGGACAGAAGAGTAGAAGGAAAGATGATTGCTTTTTTCAAATTTATGAGAAGTGATGTTTTATTCTCCCATACCCTAGTGGAGGAATCATTTTCAATTATTGTTATGATTCCAGGGCTGTCCTAAAATTCTGGGGCATGATCCTAACCCAGACTTGTAGATCTAGATAGAGTATTTGACCGATTGATTGATTGATTGATCAGTTGATTTGGCAGCACTGGGGGTTGAACTATTACCCCCAGGCCTTTTTGAATTTCAAGACAGGGTCTCCCTAAGTTGTCTAGGCTAGACTCAAACTAGTGATCCACCTGCCTCAGCCTCCCAGAGCGCTGGAAATACAGGTATGCACCACCACTCCTGGCTTAAATTACTACTTTTCTTTTTTTTTTTTTAATTACTACTTTTCTAAATGAACTTCAGCTAGGCCCTCATTTTTCCCCTAAAACTGGGGGAGAACAATTTCTAATAACCAACCAAAAATAAAGAGAAGGTGAGAAACCATCAAAGACCAAAAGCTAGGTCTATGTCAGATGATAGAGGAAAATAAATTTTTGCTTTTTAGAATTAGAAATCAGATCAAAATAGCCACTATTTGGTGTTCTTTTAAGAAGATAAGAAAGCCCCTTCGGCTGTTGAAACCAAGTGGGTTAGAAAATCGCTTCTTCCTGGAGGACATTATGGTAAGTGAAATAAGCCAATCACAAAAGGGCAAAGTATGAGTCTACTTAAATCCCAGCACGCTGAGGCAGGAGGATCGCTGTGAGTTCAAGCCCAGCCTGAACTACATAGCAAGACCCTGTCTCAAAAAAAAAAAAAGAAAGAAAGAAAAAGTTCTGGAGATGGATGGTGGTGTTGGTTACACAACAGGGGAATGTGCCTCATCCCACTGAATTGTGCACTTGAAAATGGTCCTGGTGGTAAATATCCTTTGTAGTTCACCACTAAAAACTTCTTCCTGGGAGGCAGATGTTGAGAGAGTTGAAGGTCAGTGAAACTGCAAGGACTGGCTATGGAACCAAGCCAAGCCATTGTGGGGACAGCTAGGCCTCGTCCCAGGCAGGTCTGTGAGGCTCGCTCAGTGTCGCAGAGGATATCAGAACCACCCCAGCCACCAGATGACCCTGTTTGGGACATAGTTCTTATAGCCAGGTCCCCTTTACGTCTCGTGGGAAATCCTTGAGCTGCATGGAGCAGGGGACCTGATATCCTCTTATGTTTGCAGCAGCTTCCTGTCTGCCACTGTCCTGCGGGGCCGGTAGTGGTATGCACTCTGCCATCCGTCCCCTGGTCCTGCCGATACTGCACTAACTGCAGTGACCACGGTCCCTGCTGTGTGGCCAGAAGGGTGGCTCATGGTTGGTGGGAGCTGATGGAAGAGAGGGGCGGCAGTGTATTCCCAGCGAGGGTGCTGATCCTGTTCGGGGGCAGTTCGGGTCCTCTGACTTCTCGGTTTGTGCAGCCAATGGGCCTGGACACAAACCCACAGGCAGGTGCCACTGTCAGGGTGACTGCAGAACTCCACCCAATCCAGCCTGAATTCACTGCCAAACTGCGTTTGGAAAGTGAGACCAGCAGGAGTCAATGACACCTATAGTGATAACCCTCTTCAAAGGAGTTTAACAAACGCTTTACAACAGCACTTAGAAGGACCAGTGTGATAAGGTAGGGGAGAGAGAGAGAGAGGGAGAGAGGGAGAGAGAGGGGGAGAGAGAGACTTCTCAGGCACTGGGCAGATGTGGGGAGACACAGGGAGAGGATGGGACCGGCCTGGGGGTGTCCACGGTTGTCTCACCGTCACATTGTTTGGGCTCAGTGTTGAGCTCTGTTTTCCCTGCAAGGGGCTCGGCTGGCTCAGGCTTTTCCTTAGGGACGGGTGGCCAGTGTGCCGCTGCTGTGTGGACCACGGCCCCCTGTGCAGTGAGGACTGGGCTCCTGGAGAGAACACATCTTGTGTGAGCTTTTCTTTTTTTCTACCAGAGATTGAGTATAGGGCTTTCTCACTGAGCTATGTCCCTAGCCCTGTTTAATTTTTTTTTTTTTTTAAATTTTGAGACAACATCTCACTGAATTGCCAAGTCGCCCAGGCTGCGCCCGAACTCACGTACCTCCTGCCTCAGGTTCCCAGAGTGCTGGGGTTACAGGAGTGCACCACGGTGCTCAGCTGGGTGGCTGCTTTCTGTAAGTCCGTTCCTGTGGAAACCTCCAGCGGGAGGACTGGGCTGGTGGGGGGCGTTTACCCCATCTCTATAGGAGACTGCCTGAAACTCACAGGAGCCAGGATGAGGAGGAATCTGAGTGACCCGGGCGGCACTTCTGTTTCAGTACTGCTTTAGGGAGGTTATAAAATAGTATCTCTGAGGCTCAGTTTCCTCATCTGTCAAATAGGGACAATAAGAGTTACGGTTTCCATCACTTTGCCAGCAACAGTGGCTATGGACCTAGGCCAAGTGTGCAGAGCCCTGGAGCGTGGCGGGCTGGACAGAGTTGCGGGGCGCAGTCAAGGTGAAATGCTGCAGGAGATGGCAAGTTCACGTGAGGACCGGGGAGCAAGTCCCTCCATCCTCGGTAGGAGCAAATGCAGATGGCCTGGTCAGCTATGTGTATGGCTGGACCCCTAGATGTGTCCATACTCCGGGCTTTTCAATTTACAAATTATAATCTTGAACATAATTTTCTGTTTTAACAAATTGAGATTCCTCTTTCTCGTGTGAGCTTTCCTCTTTAAAGGGGGTTAGCAGGACAGGCTTTATTTCCCCCTTTCTTCCTTCCTTTGCCTCACTCCCTGCTTCCCAGTGAACTTGAACTCCATCCCCTCGGTAGGATTCTAAGAAGAACTCTGCTTTTCCAGCTTGGAGGTTCGTTTTATGGCTGGCAGGTGATTGTGTTAACATGAAATAAACCCCTAGGTTAGTAAAATAATGCGATTGTTTAAGATTAGTCTTCAAAAGAAGGCAGCCATGCTGCTGTAAAAATGTAACCTTATGGCCAGGAAATGACATTACGTTGGCTAACAGTCTTGCTGCCTGTAAACTTAGAAGCAAACCCAGAGATCAGGAACTTAGCCTGAAACCTGATTCCCTTTTGTTCACAATGAATCACATACACTTGGAAAGGAAGAGCATTATAACAACATTCCTATTTTAGTGAGTCTCCCTTTACCAAAAACAAATGGAAAACAGTGCAGTAGTTTTAGGTTATCACCCCTCCAGCGTCCTGGGTATTCACTTCCAGAGATAGAAATGGCTTCTGTATACAACAACCAAAAGATTCCAATGTTCAGTCTGATAAGATCCTCCCAAGTGTTAATTTTGAAGAGTTAAAACCTATTTTAGCCCAAATCTGGCTTTTGACAGTCTATAGAATAGCTGTACCATATTTCATTAAATCACAAGATGCCATATATTTTAAGATACAGCCTGTTCCAGAGATGTTAAATCATGAAAAGAAATTATGTGTCTTAGACTTGGTGAAATACATACAGCACAGGAATTTTTAAAAATCCAAGTAAAAAAGCTGGGGATGTAGCTCCATAGTAGAATGCTTGACTGTCACGCAGAGGGCCTGAATTCTATCCCAGCACTGCAGGAAAAAAAATTTGCATACACAGAGAGTAGGTTATTTCCTCCTAAAAGGACTACTGGACATATAATAATCTTTTTCAATAAAATTTTTTCTTAAAAACCAATTGGGAATTTTATGATGTTTCTGAAAATAGTAATATTGGTCTTTTTCCATCTGCAAATCAGGGTTGGGATCTAATTTGCAACATACTCATATTTGCAGTATACTCAGTTTTTCTTAGTTCAGATTTTGTAAGATTCTTGCTGTCCTGATCCATCTGTTTCCAAGTTAAGGAAATGGCACAAAGTTTGGGGAGATGATAATTTAATATTCATAAAGGTATATTAGCTACATCTTCTGATCAACAGATTTACATATTGGTAATTATTTCTCTTATAAATTAGTATTGTACTGTGGCAGGCTTCCATTCTGGTCTCCTCTCCAGCTATTTTTATTTGTACTTTAATAAACTTATGTGTCTCTGTTTCTTTCCAGGTTACCATCCTGGATGCAAAACGGAACATGAACATTGGGATATTTCTCAAACAATTTAAAAAGTAAGGTTTTTGCACACATTTGAAACTTTAGTCATATCCAAGATGTCACCAACGAAATCTATGGGTGTGACCCAACTGAACTTGACATTCTAATATATGTGAAAAGTGTTCCTCCTACCTTCAGATCCTTCTTGTACACCAGACTTCATGAGTCCACATGTGTTTGTCACATGCTGCTATGAAAGTCTATCTAGTGGTTTAAAGTGAGAGAGAATTGCTGGGGCGTCCATTCAAGCCATCATCCAGGGAAATTTTAGCCTCTTATACGGAGGTTGGATCTGGGAAGCAAATAGCTGTTAGATTCTCACAGGGAGGGTGGTGCAGGAATCCATGAGAGCAAAAGGGATTGTCTTTCTTCCCCCAAAGAAGCCTCTCAGTAATGGTTGCTAGGTACCCAAGGATGGTTTTCTGTTGTAGGGTTAGGGACTCCGAGTACTTTTCCGCAGTGGGGCTGCCGTGAGCCCGCCACACTGGGAAGAAGGCAGGGTGGAAAGAAGGGTGGGGCTTGTTTTAATTCCCACTGGCTTGTGTCCCTCTTGGCGCTCCCCAACAGACATGACACGGAATATGGTTCGTTATCTCTTCAAGGTCTCCGCAGTCCATTGTAGAAGATATTCATCAAGGAAAGAGTGAGGATTATGGATCAGAGACCTTGCGAGAATTTCTTAAGCTTTTGCCCAAATCAGAAGAGGTACGTGTGTGAGCTTCGGGTGTCACAAGTGCTGGTAACAGCTTTAGGCCTTTAGGAGTGTCAGAACTCACAAGGGAAGGCACCTGTCCCGCCCAGAGATAAGCATTTTCTCACGTAAACTGAAAGCAAGGAGAGAGAACCAGGCTCGGGGAGTCACAGAATCTTGGTTCAGGTCAAACTGTACCTTCATTGACAAACTGGGCAAGGTTCTTAGCTCCTGTGAACTTGAGTTTCCTTCCCCATAAAATGAAAGTAATGACCCTGAGCTCACCAGGGTGTCAAGGTGAATAACCTCTGGTGATGCTTCCTTCATGGCCCTTGACACCTGTGAGCTCAGTAAATTTGAGTTTTCTTCTGCATCATCTAGATATGACCTTTGCCTAGGGTGAACCCAGGTTATTTGATATGCTTAAGGAAGAAAAGAACCATTTTTGGATAAAGATGCTGTATAAATCAGGAGAGGCAGGTAAGCTGTTAATACATGGTGTGTACATAATTGGCTGAAAGATGAAAATTACCGTAGTAGATAAAAAGATACCTACGTTGTTTGGACTGACCTGAAAGTACTGAAGGGTTAGGAACTCGCTGAAGAAAAACAGAAAAACGATTTTATACGTTATTTTGAGGGAAAATTCAGTAAGAAATGACTGAAATATGTGTAGTTGTAAATATTTAAATAAAACAATATGGAATCTTATAAAGCTTTTAAACATTTTCGAAGTAAAAATGAAGATTTTTTTAAATAAAAGGTCAGGATGGCTTTTCATATAAATCCTCCTCCTCACACATACCGTGGGCCCCTCCCTCCGCCAACCCACTCTTTTTCCCAGACATAATTTATGGGATTTAAGTGCCATTAATAATGAGAGAGAGATTTGCGCCTTTTCTTTGACGTGGATCCATGTTATATTCACGATGCCAAGTGGAGGATGCTGGTGGGTGACTGGAGACTCTTGGTGTATCTAGGTTTATCTAATGACCTGAGGCTTTCTCCCTACCTCAGGTTTTCTGCTTGCAAATTAAGTGTAATTTACCCAAGCCCAGATTAAGGAGTGGCATTTAGCAATGTTAGCGAAGAGACTAAAAGTCTTAAAGGAAAGATACATTTGATCATAATTTACCCTGTGTCTTACAGGCTGAACATTGCTTTTTTTTGTCAAGAATAGGAGGCTCATGATCTTTTTTAGGATGGGCAAGGTTTGATTCATATGAGTTATAAAAAGATGTATTTGCTTTAGTGTTAGGGGTATAGCTTAGTGGTGCCATGCTTGCCTTAGCATCTGCAAGGCCCTGGGCTCCATCTCCAACGCTACAGAAAAAAGAAAAAAAATGTGTGGTTTGTTTTTTTTTTTTGCTTTCTTTGCTTACGAAATCTCATTCCTGCCTGGGCTTTTCCCCTGACGAGGATAGCTTTTCATGCCCACTCCTAACTGACCTCATCATTTTGTTAAGTGAGGATCAGATTGGATAGTACATGTGAAAGCGCCCTGCAAAGCTCTGAACGCCTGACTAAATGCAGCTTGGGCCTGAGGGAGGCTGCTAGCTTCATACTGCGAAGAGATGGGAGGGGGAATACGATTTTCTTAATACCTTCATTTCGCATGTAAAATGCAGAGGCGACTAGGAAATGCAAAGGGGTTTTCAGAGAAGCAGATGACCTGGCAAGCCCTCACATTTTATAGAGTGCTCTCTCTCTCTCTCACTGGGAACAGCAAGGGCTGGATGAGGAGACCCACTGAGCCCTGCTCTGTGTCCCAAGGCTCTGTGGCGCTGTCACTACCTGAGGTGTAGCACTGACCTGGCCCCTCACACACCCCACAGCCACCCGCAGACCACAGCTGTTCCTTCTCCCTGTTCATGTTTCTGACCTTGGCTTCAACCCACCACGCCCTCCACATCCTTGGAGCTTCCTGTGGCAGAAACACCCTGACCGACGTCCCTGACGGAACCAGCTGGGCGTCAGTGCCTGTGGGAGAGAGTCTCAGAGACAGCTGAATCCGCCATGACTGATGCCCGCTGCTAGCACAGAGTGACCCAGGGCTGAGCACTTGGAGACCTGAGGCTGCCTGGACTCAGGGCTGCCCTAGAGCCTGTGGGTCTCCAGATGCGGCTGGAGAATGAGGCCGAGGTCAGGGAGGAAGCAGGACCAGGGAGGAGAGGGTTAGGGATGTGGCAGAAATGTGCCAGTGAGTGCGCAAGTGTGTCCACAACCGCGTGTCCCTAAGCCTGTGCTCCTGGTAGCACAGGCAAGGTGGAACATTCATTGAATGCCCTCCTGTGCCAGGCACCGGGCAGGGCAAAGTGGGTAAAGTGATAATATACCAAAGTGTTTAACACAGGGCCTGATGCAAAGAGTCAGTCCATCATAGCTGTGATTATCCGGTGTGTTTTCTCATTTGATCCTTACTGCCACAATGTAAGATGCTCCTCGTTTTATGGGTGAGAACCGAGGCTCACAGGTTATAGGACATCACACGCATGGTGACAGACAGGGTGGACTTGACCCAGGGTGATTCTCTGGCCCTGCAGCAGTTCCTTCTGCTGTGCTTGGCCACCTCCCCGGGAGAAAGGAAGGGCGAAGGTTGCCCGGACATCGCTCCCAGCCGCGGGGCCTCTCATCGCCTCTGCTGTCACCCAGCACTGGTGCGGGTGAACGCCACCCGGAGAGAACTGTCATCTTATCAGCACGCTGCACAGATGAGCGGAAACAGCCCTTTTCTCTCCGGCCTGCTCGGCTAACAAAGCCCGCCAAAGCCAAGGTTAATTTGCTGTCAGGAATTTCTCTGCCCTTCCCCACGAATCTTTGATCTGGCAGGTTTGCTCATCCTTCCTCCAGCGTGTGTGGTTAACCCCTGCAAGGGGACGAGGTGGCCCGGGAACGTGAGCCCTGAATGTTTTCTTGTCCTCCCGCCAAGGGCCTGTGCCAGGGTGGGGGTGAGGAGGAGCCCCCAGACCCGAGCCCTTCCCTGCCCGGGGTCCTGCGAGACACTTCCCGTTCTCCCTGGGAGCAGGATGAGTTGCCTCCTCGGGACCCTGTGGTGTGTGCGCGCACACACGCGCACGTGCACACACAGCACTGGAAATGAACCCAGGGCCTTGCACATGCGAAGCCCACGCTGTGCCACTGAGTATTTTTATCGCCTCTTCCTCCCTTCCTCCTTTCCTCTGCTGCTGCTGGGAGGGAAGTGAGGTGGCTTGGGGCTTCTGTGGGCTGAATACGTTTGTGGCAGTCCTGCCATTCCAAGGCCAGCGGGTGAATCACACAGTATGTGGGTCTCAGGGAGCGCATTCCTGTGACCAGGACAGAAACTGGGTACAGCGAAGGTCACACTGAATGTCTCTCAGCTCAGCCTGCAAAGCTACGTTCAAAAAAGTTTAATAAAGACTCTTTGATAGTGGTGGAATACATACTAATTATAGGGTTAGCACCTCCCTGTGACCGGCCTACCACTGGGAAGGTGCGGTAATCCCTCTTAATGAACATAGATCTCGCTTTGAAATAGCACGAAGAACTTCTCACATGTGTTTAAATGAAATGTTGCTTTTCCATCACCATCCTCCTGAGATCTGTAAACATTTCCAGCCTTTCCCAAAAGTGAAGGAGATAAAGCGTTGCTCCATTACAGTTTAGCCTATGTTTAATAGAAATATTTACTGAGCTTACTTAGCTTGGCCGGTTCTTGAGCTTTAGGCTGAAGTCAGGGCTGTTATTTCCAGAAGCTCTGATTGCCGCAGAGAGGGTCATGAGTGCATGCAACCTCATCTGCCCTCACCCATGTATAGGAGCAGTTCAGCTCTGCTTCAGAAGGGGTCAGAATTCATTCCAGAGATTCTCAGCTCAGAATAAATCACTGATTCGCTTTTAACTCGGCCAGAGATGCCAGGTACCTTTACATTTAGCAACCCGAAGATGGTAAATTCACTTTGCATTTTGGTTTTGCACATAGGGCCAATACAATTTTTTCAATCTCCTTTTTTTGCCCTTGTTGAAATAAAAAAAAAGATTGGGGTGTGACATGCTGAACGAGCTCTTGCTTCAGTGGGCAAGGACTTGTGACAGCACTGGGAAAAAAAGTCGTAAGAACCAGACTTAATACTAGGCTGTGAATTTGCACTGTTCTTTGCATTTTCAAATAATTAAAGTAGATAGTTCAGTTTGTGGATCCTTGAAAATAAAGTTCTTGGGTTTATCCCCCAGGATCCCAAAAAGAATAATGAACAAGCAGTAGGAACTGCACTGGGGATGTAGCTCAGCGGGACAGCGTTTCCCTGGCACGTGGGAGGCCCTGGGCTCCCTGCCCAGCACCACAGTCGTAAAGGGCAGCGGTGAGCGCTTGCTGACCGCGGTCCTGTGAAGACGGGCCGTGCGCATGCTCCGCTGACGGCAGCCAGGTGCTGCTTTCCGTAAAGAGCCTTGTTGGAAGAGGTCTACTAGCAGTGGCCTTGGAGGTGGTTTTGCCATTGGCTGGCTCCAGTTTTCTGTGTGGGGAAGGCGTGACTACTGCACTTTGAGAACTTTCTCTCTGCCTGCACCTCCCGCTAGCTGCTGGCTCCATACCTATGTCAGAAGGCCCCTTTCTTTTCATTACTACAGTAGAAGGGATATTTTTGTGTCTAAAAGCTTTTTTTTTTTTTTTTTTTTTTACAAAAGCAGTGCATGTTCACAGGAGGCGTTTCAGTAAATATAAATGAGCAACAAAAGACAGTAGTTGTCACCAGCACTCCCGTCACCTAGTGCCTGAGGAACCTTTTAGCCTTTCTCCTGTGTGTTTAGGTGGCGTGTGGAAGCGTTTGGGGATCGTACACACCTTTGAGGAGCTGGACACACCTTTTATTTCTTAAATTTACAGAAATGGGATGCTGCTGTACATGTTATTTTTTACCTTTTTTTTTGGTAGGAGGAAATAGTTTTTTTATTAGTTTATTTTTGATTAACATTGTATTTTTGATTAACATTGTACAGACCGGTGGGACTGAGCATGATATTTCTTTTTTTTTTTTTTTTTTGGCTTTTCTCCGGTACCGGGAACCGAACTCATGACCTTGCGCTGAGCATGATATTTCAACCGACGCACATGACACAATGATCAAATCCAACCTCCCTTGGCAGCTGCTAGTAATCACTCTTTTACATTCCAGTCCTTTTTCTTTTTAGCTTCCACGTGTGAGAGAAAACCTGGGGTTCTGGTCTCTCTGTGTCCGGCTTATTTTTCTTAGTGTAATATCCTCCAGTTTCCTCCATGTTTCTTCAACACATGGGATTCCAGTCTTCTTTCCGGCTGAATAATTTTCCGCTGCATATATATACCAAGCTTTCTTTATCCGCTTGTTCCTTCCCGGAGGCCTAGGCTGATTCTATGTCTTAGCTATGGTGAATAGTGCTCTACAGCATGGGGGGCGGGGATTTTAACATGGATCGCTTAGTTGTTTAAACAACTTCTCTTTTTACCTTCCTGCTGGAGAGCCTGCATATTCTTACCTCAGGGCACGGTAATCCAGGCCAGGGTGGGGCTCAGTGCTAGAGCGTGTGCTTCCGCACGAGGTCCTGAGTTCAGTCCCCAGCACCACACAAAATAAATACATACATGCATAAATGACACGCCGGGGCCCGTCCTGTAAACTATCATTTGTAAAGTGGAATTGGAGTGCAAAAAGCTGGGTGTTAGACTTTACCCCAGTCTAAGTGTTTTATATCTAAAGTACTTGATAGGAGTTTTTTCACTTACGATTTAAAGGAGAGCATGTTACAGTGACTATCTGGTCTTCTTTCTTCTCCTAAACAATGTTTGCACATCTGGATTATGATGCGGGGAAACATCAGCCTTGGAGCCGATCCTTTCTCCGAGCTGCCCTTTAGTAGCCCTCCTGAGAGTCTGTCAAGTGGTTCTGACTGGTTTGTTTGGGACTCTGAGTCCTCCATCTACATAAGTATCACCAGCTCCTCTCCTTCAAATTTGTCATTTTCTTTCTTTTGAAAAACAAAGCAGTAGGGCTGACGGCGTAGCTCAGTGAAGGAGTGCTCGCCTAGGTGCCACCCCCCTGATACCAACTCCTGCACCAAAAAAATTTCCAAGTGGTAGATGTAGAGATACTCTTTTAAGTCTTTTTAAAATGTCTGCATTTTTATTAACTTGATTTTAGTACTGAGAGCCTCTTTGGTTAGAAGGATCCTAAAAGGACGTTTAAAATAAATAAACTAATCATGAGTAATTTTTTTCTCTACCCTCTTCCCATTTGCCTTTCAGGTAAAGAAGTTAAAAGCCTTCAGTGGCGATATGTCCAAGCTCTCCCTCGCAGATTCCTTCCTACAGTGCTTGATTCAGGTGCCAAAGTAAGGACAGCCCACCGCTTCTTCGTCTTTACACAGTCATATTTTTAAACCAATGTTGAATTCTACAGTTTTACCTTTTATTTTTCAGCTATTCACTTCGGATTGAAGCCATGGTGCTAAAGAAGGAATTTTTACATTCTTGTTCTTCTCTGTACACTGATATGACAGTTTTAAGAAGTGCTACAAAAGGTAAGCAAACACGCGGTCCTTCCTAGAGTTCGTTTCCATTCACTTTGGTACCAGGTTTTTTTTAAAAATTCAACTGAAATTAGAAATGGAAAATCCCGTGTATGATAAACTAAAAAGGGAAGTGAGCTATTACTGGGGATGCATTTAAAGTTTATTTCCATTTTTGTCTCCTTTTGAACATCAATTTGCATATTATCTTCCCATGAAGGAAAGTTTCTTTCATCTCAGGCGCCAGGGTAAACGTGCTCGTTGCAGCTTGCTCTCGCTCTTCTCCTCGATTATCTTTCGGTGTGTGGTATACATGTGCAGTATGATCTGTAGTGCGTGTGTGGTAAATGGGGCGTGTGTGCTCACGCGCACGCGTGTGTGGTGTATGTGTGTGGGCATGTAGGTGTGTGGTGTGGCGTGTGTGCATGAGGTGTGTAGAGTGCGTGTGGTGTGTGCTGGAGGTGCACAAAGCCCGGACTGTCGGTGGCTGACCCCTGGAGCCTCGGGACTCTGCCAACCTCCTGCTTCCTGGGCCTCAGCACTGTGAGTCCCAAGGCTCCTGTCCTGTGCTGTCTGCACCCCTGTCACCTCCAGAGTCCAAATCTGTGGGCCATTTCCGTTTAGAGGAGTTGGTCCTTTTCACTTCTTTGAGCAGCTCCGAGTTACTGCCCAGGCCTAGCGCTGTCTGAGTTGCTCCCCGATCTTGCGGGCGGGCTGGGCTGCATTTCTAGCCCCAGTGCCCACAGCGGCCTCCTCGGTGCTCCATGTGGGCCCCTTCTCCACCCTCACCTGCCCACGCCTTCCTGACACCTGCCCGATGCCTCCTGGTTGTGGGCTGGATTTCTAGCGAGTGTTTATAGAACTCTTTACTTGAATTTGGTTTTCCTGTCTGGTGGCTCTGGCCAGTACCGAGAGAGAAGTTTTCTCTTTGACCCACTGCTTTCTTCATTCCAAGATGGAGGCCATGGTACAGTGTCTCACGGGCTATCACACATACCAAGCTATTGCAGCAGCTTGGAGAGGATTGTGCTTCCCGTTCAAATAGCAGTGGAAGAAATATGCGTTCGTATTGAGCAATGCAAATTGGGAGCATGAAGGAAACTGCTCTTATCTGGGTAACCTTCCCAAGCTGGCCTTCTGAGATAACGAAATGTAGGCAGCGATCCGAATGCACTTTTTTCCCCATACCGAGGATTGAACCCAGGGGTGCTCTACGACCGAGCTACATCCCAGCCTGTTTTTAGTTTTTTAAATTTTGAAATGTAGGGTCTTGCTAAGTGCCCCACATTATCTTTGACCTTGTGATCCTCCTGCCTTAGCCTCTCAAGTAGCTAAGGTGATAAGTGTACGCCGCCACGCCTGGCTCAAATGTTTTTTTGAACATAATAACAGACTTACTGGAAAATAGTAACTTGAAACCGTCATTGCTATCACTTTATTATTTATATATGGTACAGTTTTAATAGCCAAACTTTCTTCTTAGCTTTTCAAATAGATTTAAAACCTTGAACTGTTTTTCTTTACATAAATGTACATTAACTAGGTGTTAACAAAAATCACTTAACAATATTATATTATAATGATAAGTTCATTTTTAAAGCTTCTAGACAACGCAGATGAAATGTACAGCTTTGAATAAGATGCAAAGACGTTCTGAATGGCAGCCCCACAGTCTGTGCTTCACAGATTATTGACACATCATTCCAAGCTGTTTATTTTTTATCTCTTCATAAGTCATTGGCTAAGCAAAATGTTGCTTGCTAGTCATTTTCATGTTGCATACATACAGTCTCTAAAGAGAGTAGATACATAGAAAGAAAGAAATACAGAAATAACACTCGAGGAGTAAAGAGCTAATTCCTGTGACACAGAATACTGCCTTTCATTAGGCTTTTGTGTTTCCACTACCTGAACATTTTCGTGATTAAACCAGTTCATGATGTTCAACTGTCCCGCGTGTTTGATCTCCAGTAAAACACTAGCGCAGGATGGCCAGGGGCAAACGGTTCATCTCCAGCACTGTAGAATGTGCTACTTACTTTGGTTTTCAGTCTTTGCTCACAGTGTAGGGTCAGAGCCTGTCTGAGCTGGACGTACCACCTGTCTAGGTTTGGCAGGGCTTCTCTAAGGCACTGTGTTCTTTTTGACAGAGCTGATGTCGTGTGAGGCTCTGCACTCAATATTACACTTGGTGCTCCAGGCTGGGAATATCATGAATGCAGTAAGTAAAATCCAAAACAATTGAAAAAGCAGTGTTTTCCACTTTATCGCTGTCTTTGAGGCATAATATATTTCTCTCTTTTGCTTGTCTTCTTCAGGGAGGATATGCTGGCAATGCAGTAGGATTTAAACTGTCTTCTTTGCTCAAATTGGCAGACACTAAAGCCAACAAACCTGGGATGAACCTTCTGCATTTTGTTGCACAGGTAGGCGGATGCAGTTAATGCAGAGGGGGAATGGTGATGAATCCCCTTTGAGGTGGTGACATTTTTCTCAGGCGGAAAGTGGTGGCCACATTAGGAAAGGGGCTGGTGAGCTCCAGGGAGGTTCTGTTTGCTTCTTCAAAGATCCCACGGTTGCCTGCTTCCAGGTCCAGGGCTGGGGCAGGGCGGGGAGCGGGGTTTGGTAGGCAAGAGGCGCGGGAAGCCTGTCGGAGAGATTTAGATTGCAGAGGTGGTTTTCATGCTTTAAAAATGGGGAGCCAGCGGAAGTCTGTGCACAGTGTAAGGGAATAGTGGGGTTTTTGGGTTTGAGGAAAATAAAGCACTATGGAGGCTGGGTTGGAGCGGAGAGAGCACCGGGAAGAGCGAGGTCTGTGTGGGAGTTGGCTGTATTTGGTGAGTGGGGGAGCAGACGCAGAGTAGAGGACTGGGTCTTGAAACACTTCAGAGGTGCAGCTGACCAGGTGTAGGATTGGTTATGTACAGAGAGATCACCTTTTTTCCCCTTTGTGACCCATGTATTCGAGTGCCTTGCTACTGTTACAGCCATGACAAGCTGTAGGATCTGACCCAATCTGTGGTGCGCGCATGCGCATGTATGCCTGCGTGCCTGCGTGCGTGCGTGCGTCTCCGCACGCGCATGCACTGTGGATGGAACCCAGGGCCTTGCCCATGCTGTGCTAGTACCCTACCACTGAGCTACCTGCCACCTCAGCCCATGGCTTATTTAACACCAGAGTAACTAGATTCACGGTGAAAAATTCAGTCGGCTCCCTTTTAATTACTGTTGCGATTAAACATTCTCAGCAATTATAGTGACTTGCCTTTCTTTCTTGAATCCCCGCATTTGGACACCCACAAGAGACGTAGCTTTAGGCTGAGGAGGAAGCCACTTGCATGCTTGTGTTGAGTGTGACCTCTAGCATGGGACAGAATGGGGAGATGTGGACTGTCCTTTATTAGCGATATGTCCTCAGACAAGTTACATAAGCTTTAAGACCCCTAATTTCTTCACATAAGGAGGGAGTAGTGGTAACTTACCTGAGAATCAGGTAGCTGAGCGGACTGGAGGAGATAAACCCATAAAGTGCTTGGTTCATTGTCTGGCATATAGCAAGCACTCTGCAAGTAATACACACTGCTAGTATTCCTCAGAAGACAAAGGGCCATCTTTACCTCGGTACTCGACTGCCTTTTGGCTTTGGTTTGGTTTGGCTTTTGGGCGGGGGGTGCTAGGATCAAAGCCAGGGCCTTGCACGTTGCTGGGCAGGTGCTCTGCCACTGCGCTACGCCCCAGGTCCTCAGTGCTTGATGGAAAATTTAATTCTCCAGGCATTAAGAGAAAGAATAGTGCGCTTTATCCAGCATGGATTACAGGTCACGTTCTGGCAAAGCTCCTTTGGGTCCATCTATCTAGTTGCTTTCTGTCTCTTGGTCCCTGCCCCATGCGGACACCTGAGTCTCACTGCCTCCTGCTCAGCCTCCCAACAGATGAAGAATCCAGACCCCGCCATGACTGTGTCCCTCCTGGGTAAACTCAGTTTGCAAACTGGTTGAGCAGCTGATGGTATGTCAGTCGTGTCAGGGCGTACTCAGAGGAATGGGCGGTATTCAGCAGAATGTGCTGGATTCTCTTAGAGACAGGGGGCCCGGCTCAGCGGCCACCTCTTTTCACTGAGTTTCAGCAGACATAAATTGAATTTCATGTCACAGTCAGCTGCCCTGGGAAGTTAAATGTATTTTGAGAGTGAAGGTATTCTGGTAAATCTTACTAAGACTATCAGAATTCATGTCTCAGTGAGTCACTGTGAATGTAGCAAGCCGAAAAATAAGCAACGATGATAAGGTTCCTTTAAGTCCTAGGAAAATTATTTCATGCCGTTTTATCCATCCGGTGAGAGAAAATTCTGTTTTTGTTCCAGGAAGCCCAAAAGAAAGATGCCACCCTTCTACACTTTTCTGAAAAGTTGTATCACGTTCATGAGGCTGCTAGGTAAGCAAGGACGACAGAAGTGCGTCGTGAGAATTAAGTTGTTAGCACCTTCTTACGCAAACTGCTGATCAGTAACAACTTTTGGATTCAAGTTTGAAATTTAAAAATATTGTTGTGTTGGACTTTGAGTCTCCTTTTCACTTTGAAAAGTAGCGTGTGTGTGCACCCGTGGAATTCTGAAAAGTTTATTTTTAAAAATAATACTAAAAAAAAGCTATTTTAGTCTATCCTCATGAATATCATCAAAAAAAAAAAAAAAAATGTGGACCGAGAACTTCAAATCCCTCCACACCCAAAAGATAGAGTTCAAACAACCCAGCTTATTAGCTCAGTAGCTGGTCTAGATCACTCAAGCTTTTGGGGCCATCCATCACAGTTTGCTTGTAGAATCTAACATGGTACATTTGTTTTTTATTGCATTAAAAGGGGTTGGAACCAGACCAGGAGCTGGGAAAGCATTTGATTTTAAATTAGTCACTCCACTTTACAGAGAAAGTGTCTACCAAACACAACACTCTAATTACATCATCCTAATGCACTTCTAATCCTCACATCGATGCGTACTTTAATATAGTTACAACCTGTGCATATGTACTATTTTGAGTCCTGTGCTTTTCAACTTATGACACATACCCACACATGTCAAGGTGAATATGTAAAAGAACCAGTTCTTCAAGGAAAAAAAAAGTCCTGCTTTGTAGCATTTGCTGGTCTTCATACTGCAAATAGTGTTGCCCTGGCTGACTTCAGGCTGCCGACGTGGAGTTACTGAAGGCAGGGGTGGAAAGCGATACCCACAGGCAGCCTCGTGAGGTGAGGCTCAGGTCAGCACTGCGTCGTGAACCCAGTTCATGTCATGAACCTGTTTTTTGAGACAGGGTCCTAAGGCCGGGGATATAGCTCAGCGGCGCAAGCACCTACCTGGCAAGCTCGAGCTCCTGAGTTGGACTTCCGGTACAAAAACAAAAAAAAAAAACGATCAATGAGGCAGGGTCCAGCTGTGTTTCCCAGGCTAATGGTTGCAAACTCCTGGTTCAGGCCTTCCTCCTCTCTCTGCCCCTTAAGATGGCAGGCAGCATAGTGCCTGGCTCTGTCATGTACTTACTATGTGAGTGGCTGCAGCCAGCGATGACAGCGATGCACCCCGTGCATGTCAACAACTGAACTAGAGCTCATGGCCCTGTCATTAGCCGGTGTGTCACTGTTGTTGACTTTGTGGACATCTAGCCACAGATTTCTTGTCCTTCCCAAAGTGGGATTATTAGTGCAAAGGTGGAGAACACTTCGTAATTCGTGTTTACAGGTCACTGCATTATTCTCCAAGAAGAATGGACATCTTATGTGACACACTTTTTTTTTTGTCATTTTGAGACAGGGTTTCGCTATGCAGTTCAAGCTGGCCATGAGCTCACACTGTAGCCCAGGCTGGTCTCGAACTTGCAATGATCCTCCTGCCTCAGCTTCCCGAGTGCTGGGATTACAGGAGTGCGCCACCCACACCCAGCTGCACTTTTGTTTTTGAACCACTAAGAAATATGTGTGGGAATATTTTTATTCTGATAGACTATAAATATATCTAAGAGGTCTATAAGGAAAAATTACTATAATACCCCCCCATATTGGGATTGAACCCAAGGCCTTAGGCTTGCTACTGAGTTATGTTTCCCAGCCCTTTTAATTTTTTTGTCCTGTTTGGTTTTTTTGTCTTTTTGAGACAGGGTTTCATTATGCGGTTCAGGGTGACCTTGAACTTACTTTGTAGGTCAGGCGGGCCTTGAACTCACAGCAGTCCTCCTGCCTCAGCCTCCTGAGTGCTGGGATTACAGTTGTGCACCACCACACCTGGTTTAAAATTTTATTTTGAGACAAAGTCTCGTGAAGTTACCCAGGCTGGGCTCAGACTTGTGATCCTCCTGCCTCAGCCTCCCAAGCTGGTGGAGTTACAGATGTACACCACCACTCGAGGTCATTACATTTTTAAACTGGTATTTCTGGTCAGAGTTGCATCAGAAGTTTAGCTAGATATTACCTTGGAAAACTCCTTTTTCAGAAAGGTTTATTTATTTGAGATGGAAAAGTAAGGTCCACAGTCAAATATCAGATAAGCACGGAGGACCAACAAAGGTGGAAAACTTATTCCATAAGAATGAGAATTAACAGTGGAAGCATGAGTGCACCCTGCTTTACGAATTCCACCTGGATTTTGGGTCTCACCTGCTCACTTCGCCGCCACTCCTGCCGTCTACTTACCTTGATGGGATGCAGGAGACCGAGACATTGTACCAGCCCCGCCATTTACTGCGGAGCTGGCGGCTGTGTTTCAGTTCTCTGAACAGTGCAGAGCACTGTGGGGGGCAACATGAAATCTACTCGGTTTCTCTGTGCAACCCAGGCACCAGCGCCCGCAGCCTCCATCTCCTCTGTCTCCCACAGACCCGCCCGCTTTTCGTTTCTAATGCTTATTGCGTAAAGATGCTTAGCTCCAGTTTACAGAAGTAAACCAAGTCCCGTGGTTTGGGTTATCTCATCTGCAGGAACAGAGGCAGCACGCGCTCTTTGTACCGGCTTGTGTTTTAGGAAGCAGTCGCCTCTAAAAAAAAAACAGGTGGAAACCCACCATGCACACATTCGGGGAGGGAGACATAACTGCAGGCGCTCGCCCTTTGGTTTCCAGGGGTGGCCAGAGATAGGTCTTGTTTGATGTCCTCACGGGAGACCCGGCGCCCTTGTGCCAACTGCCCACTCTCCTTTCTTCTTTTAGATTATCGCTGGATAACACAGAGGCAGAACTGAAGTCGCTGTCTGTCAGGACGAAATCGCTGCAGGAGAACATAAAGCGGGACGGGGAGCTCCGTCAGCAGATGGCAGATTTCCTGCAGGTTCGTAGGTGACGGCGTCGGTCCTCTGGTCTCAGCCTCATCCCGCCCCGACTGCTCAGGTGTGCGCGGGCAGATGTGTGAGGCAGCGGCCTTCACATTTTCCCACCACAATAGTACGGAAACCCTTTGCGCCCCGAAACCTCTTTGCGGCTCAGGCTATTGCTCATGGTTTAAACCTAAAGTCTCTGCTTAGGGGTGAGGCTCCTGCCTGTCCCTCTTCAGTTTTGTGATAGCACCTTTGTTCGGTGACCTTCATCAGCTTGGGCCACGGACACTTGGACGATGCCTAAGTTTTGCTTTTAAGCCAGTCCGATTTTTCTACAACCGAACACGTTGTGCAGAAATCATCACCCTAGGACTCGAGCTCTTCCTCCTGCGCTTGTTTATGTGGGAGGGACGAGCTGTGTTTGGCTCGATTTCTAATGAGGGCAGAACACACACATGATCCACACCGAATACACCGGCCCCACCAGGGCGTGTCCGGAGCCTCCGCAGAAAACAGCAGAGTGGACGTGTTTGTGGCGGTTCACGGTGACTCACTAATCGCAGAGTCTGACATACTTCTTTTATCTCCCTTCTTTTCAAAAAGGAGAAGCGGTGCTGTTACCCTCTGGGACGCGGTGTGATACCTTGAATGTAGTCAGCTCCCAGGGTCCCTCGAGGTGGAATCTGAGTGACAGGTTGCTCTTGGCACTAGGCAGGAACGCAGTGCTCCTGAGGCCGAGACGCCGAAGCCCTTGCTCATTAATTGATTTCCTCTGAAACATTATGAGTTCGGCCCATATTTGCAAACACTGGATTCAGTCTGGTGCTACTTTGAGCTCAGATTTATTATTAAACATGTGCTTTGTATTTGCTCTCACATATAACCAAACTGATTTTCCCTTTCAGATATGTACTTTTTTTGTTAGTTTTCTTATTTGGTTTGTTGGTTTTCTTGAGACAGGGTCTCACTATGTAGTTCAGGGTGGCCTTGAACTCACTGTAGACCAGGCTGGCCTCAAGCTCACAGCAATCCTCCTGCCTCAGCCTCCTGAGTGCTGGAGTTACAGGTGTGCAGCGCCACCCTCGGCCTTCAGGTGTACCCATTTTTCTCAACGTGCAATAATAAAGCAAATACTCTCATCATCACCAGTACCACAAAAACATGCAGCGGTAGTCAAGCATAACCAGATGTACAAAACAAATTGAGAAATTCATAAATGAGGACCATCACACATCAAGATTAAGGTTCTCCTTGTAAGGCTGTGGGTGTGGCTCAGTGGTAGAGCATATGGTTAGTATGCATGAGGCCCCAGGGTCCATCACTAGCACCACAAATTTTAAAACAACTAAAATGGAGATTCTGGTTGCTTCATTCTCCAAGTTCTTAAGTATTTATATATGTATATATATATTTTTTTTTTTAATTTTTTTTTTTTTTAGGACAGGGTCTTGCTATATAGTTTAGGCTGGCCTTGAACTCCCTTGTGTAGCCCAGGCTGGCCTCAAGCTCACAGTGATCTTCCTGCCTCAGCCTCCCAAGTTCTAGGATTACACACATGTGCCACCCTGCCTGGCAAATATCTTACACTGTTTTGTTTTTTTTTTTTGCTTTGGTGAGGATTGAACCTGAGTCCACCTACACACTAAGCACATGCTGTACCACTAAGCCACACCCCCCAGCTCTTTTTTTACACTAAATCTTAATACAGAAAGGTTTAGGCTGAATTACAGTTGTCCCTTGTCATCTCTGGGCCACTCTTCAGAAGCATGTTTGTTTTAATTCTTTAAAACTCTTCCTAGTAGTGTTCTATGTGTTTTGTTTTGTTTTTTAGTACTGGGGATGGAACCTAAAGATAGCCCTGTATTACTGAGCCACACCCCCAGCCCTGGTAGTCATGGTTATTTGTTTGTTTGTTTGTTTTTGTTTTTAGACAAGGTCTCGCCATGTAGTCCAGGCTGGCCTCAAACTCACAGCAATCCTCCTGCTTCAGCCTCCCTGAGTGCTGGGATTACAGGTGTGCGCCGCTATATCTGCCACCTGGTAGTGGTTTTTATCTCTATAAATAAAATGTGCCACACAGCCATGTCTTTTCTCTCATGAAATCAGCTTCTTTCTCCTTTCCTCTCATTACTTTTTCTTTTTTCCGGCCCCAGAGCCTTTGCAGCAAGCTACACTCCTAGCCCTTTCTTAGATTTTGAAAAAGAGCCTTACTGAGTTCCCCAGGTGGGCTGGATCTTGTGATCTTCCCGCCTCAGTCTCCCAGAGGGCTGGGGTTACAGGCTTGTACCCCGATTTAAACTTCTTCAATGGATGAGATGGACATGTGGCAAGGTGGGTTAGAGTTAGGTCACGCTGACTCCTGAGGGCCAGTCTGAAACCCTGGGGCTCCTCGCCGAAGCAGTGGGGGCCTTTGGAGGGCTTTGAGCAGAAAGATGACCAGGACATGTTTTTCACAGAGCCTTGTCAGCATTTTGAGCCTTGGGCGGGACACTGTGAGGACACTGGTTTGGGATTTCCGCCCACCCCAGGCATGGTCGCCATGGAGAGCTGCGTCCCACACCGCGCTGACCTCTGTCCCTGCCTGCGCCAGCGCCCCGGTGGGCTTCTGTGTGCCCTCATCTTGTGGAACTCACGGCGTCTGACTTGCCCGTGGTTCTTTTTCAGTTCTGGACTCGGAGTGTTCATTTTCCTGACACGGAGGGGGGCTCTGGTGGCCAGGCTTTCCCTCCTGGTGTCCCATCAACCCCCGTGGGGTCTGCAGACGAGACCGGGTGTTTGTCCCGGGGCCTGTTTTTCTGGCCTGCGCTGTCCTTGCCTGGAATCCCCCTCTCCCCTGCAGGAGCATGACAGCAGACGTTCTCCCCGCCTGCGTCCCCTTCTCCCTGGAGGAACGTTGAGTGCGCAGGCGCACGCGCCTGGGGCTCCTGACTCAGATGGTTGCTCTCTTCCGCATTCAACTTCCTGAATAGCTCTGGTTTCCTGCCCTCTCTAGAATGTGCCTGGTTGAGGTTGAGGAGAAGGGCCTTCGGGGAGAGTGGTTGGAGCGGGCGGGAGGTGGCGAGTCTTGGAGGCATTTCCCTGGGCCCTGTGCCGGCCGAGCATGTTTAGACAGCAGCTGGCCACCTCTTAGGGGAACCTGCCGCTTTCGCATACCGCAGGCCCACCCCCCTCACTCTGCACGGGAGCTTTTCAAACCTAAGCCTCTCTTTAGAAAACACAATGCATGCACTTTCATAAAGCAACATATTTCCTGCATTCCTGCTTCCTCAGTAAACAACAAAGTAGTGTCAGGCTCCGGTGTGACTCCACCCACGCAGTCTCCTGGAGGCAGCGGTGAGGTCCTTCCTGCCTGCCTGTCCCCACACTGTCCCTTTCGTCACCGCGCTCCCCGTAGTCATCCACCTGTATTGGTAAAGTGTCTGTGGGCCCTGGGTGAGCGGATCCCGCCCTGCAGGGCTGGGAGCTCACGGGAGAAAGCAGGCTGCTTTCGTGCTCACCACTGTGTAGCGGCCGCGGACCTAGGTGCTGTGGAAGAAATAGGAACAAATAAGTAGCAGTGAGGGGATTGGTATGGGACGGTAATTCCTAACCATGGGACCCACTGCACTCGCTGCAGAGTTTTAACAAAATATCAGCTCACGGTCCAGCCCGTTGCATGGGGGGTACAGGCATGAGCTGTTGCCAGAACTTCCTAGTCGGCTGGGACAGCACCCCAGATTTAGGCCCGAGGGCTTCAGTCCTAGGGCTGCCGCGGAGCCCAGTGGGGCTGGGGAATTAACAGCGCAGCATGGACAGCTCATCAGTACAAGTGAACCTCAGGGGCCCCAAAATAAACCTTTGGCCGTGTGAGAGTTGAAAAAGAAAGAACAAATGCAGAAGGAATTTTTCTTCATAAAACCAGCTATATACCTGGGTCATTTTTTTCGAGCCATTAAAGGTGAAAATTTGGTTAGTGATACAGTGTAGGTTCAAATTCTTACATCTTCCATTCTTTTTGAGACAGGCTCTTACCATGCTGCTCAGGCTGGCCTCATTCTTCTGCACTCCAGCAGTCCTCCTGCCTCAGCCTCCCAAGCAGCTGAAACTACAGTGCTCCCCACTATCCCCAGCCTCTCCATCTAGTGTGTGGCTCCTGGGTCTCACACAGTCACCTGCAGGTTGTGTTGGGTGACTCTCTCGGCTTTGAGTGCACCTCGTTGCCCTGAGCCCTGGCCCCTCTGAGGCCAGGAACCAAACCCAGCAGTGTGTCTCCCTGTGCGCCAGGCAGAGCGCCGTGACCTCTCCTCTGCCGACGTCACTGCTCACGTCAGTGGACCCCTGTTGTCTCTCCGCAGTTTGCCATGGAAAAGCTGGCGGAGCTGGAACAGTGCAAAGAGAAGCTCTGGCGGGAGGCGCACACCCTTATCGATTTTTTCTGTGAAGACAGAGAAACCATGTCCCTGGATGAGTGCGTCCAGATATTTAGAGACTTCTGTACCAGGTTCAACAAAGCAGTGAAGGTAAGGCTGGCGGCTTCCTCATGCCTTCCGAGTGACTGGAAGAGCCTTCTGGTCACTGCCATGGTGTCAGCACCCTGGGACCCTGTTGGCCTTGGCCAGCGTGGCCCTGGGTAGAACGTGGCCACCGCACCCCCTACCCCTCAGGACCACGGCAGGGATCTCTGAACTGAAAACTCTCTGGGTTGCCTGGCTTAGCAAATCAAACCTGTCTTTGTCAGTTAAACACAAAAGGACAGTCTGTACCCCCTGCATCACTTCAGGGAGTGATGCGGACCCAGGTGCTTCTGAGTCACGACTTGCCTCATGTTTATTTATTGCTTATTTATTGCTAAGGTGTGAACGCGGGGCCGTGCACTCTCCCTACGATAAACGCAGACTCGTCCACAGCTGCATGTCTGGGAGGGACTGGTCATGTTGCTCTCCAGCCCAGACTGCTTTCTGTTCCCAGCCCCTCCCTTTCCCACCCAGCAGAGAAAAGGGCTCAGCCTGTGGCCACGTACATGCTCCTCTGTCCAAGCAGTGAGCTCAGCAGCGGAGGCCACGGGGGCGGCAGGGGCCAGTTGGCCCTTGGTGAGGCCCTCAGGCCCAGGAAGCCACCTGTGTGTCCCTCTCAGCCCGGCTGTCTGAGCCAGGCCATGGGAAGCCGGGAAGGAGAGGCGTGAGAAGCCTGGGACCCCTGGGGAGGCTCAGCTGTAGGAGCCAGGAGTCCCCGGCCAGAGCCTCACAGAAACTGGAAAGTCCACCGTAGGAGAAAACTGATTTTCAAATAAAGACTGCTAACAGCAACAGATTTGGGTGATGAGACCCATGTAATTACGTGATCACACGATCTGGGAACCCAGGAGAGAGCTGTGGTTTGTGACACAAATGCAGCTAGCTCTGTACCCACAGCTCCTTGTCTACAGATTCAGCAACCACAAACTGAAAATATATGTGTCAGACTGCATCTGCCCTGACTACGCAGACTGTTTTTGTCATTATTCCCTGAACAATACAGTCTAACAGCTATTTACGTAGCACTTCCATTACATAGGAATTGTATGTAATCTAGAGATGATTTAAAGTATATGTGAGGCTATGCGTAGGTTATGCAAATACCTCATCATTTTATATGAGGGGCTGGAGCATCCTCTGAATTTGGCATCGGAGGGGGCCCTGGGACCCGTTCCCTGCAGATTCTGAGGGACAGCTGCATATGAAATCACACGGGCAGGTGGAGTTACTTACTGTGTAAGCTTGCTCCGGCTCAGTTTCACCGGGGAGGGCTGATTTCGCAGCCAGGTGAAGGCTGGAGGGTTTGTAAAGCACACCTGTTCTTCTTCCTCCCCTCTGTGGGGTCAGGCCAGGGCACAAGGGACAGAGCCTTCTGCCACAAGGTACAGCCGGCAGGGCCACCAAGGTATTTGTGACGTTTCTCTACCAGAGAGCAGTCAGAGAACAGAACTGAAAGACAGCTCTTCACATCTTGGGTGTACATTCACATATCCAAGTCATTGTTGAGTAGCATGTGCATGAGTGTGTGAGTGCGTGTGAGTATGTGTGTGGATGCATTCGTGCAACACAGAGCTGCAGAGGGAGCCACTGCCTTTTAGCGCCTGTAGTTCTTTCCTCTTCTCTGCCTTCATCTGCCCAGTACGTTGCCACGTGTCTACCCAGCCGTCCTCCCCGCCGAGGAGCGGGGTTGGCTTTCTTGGAGTGGAGGTCACAGGCACGTGTGGTCCCAGCCCTCGCACAAGGCACGGACGTAGGTCCGCTGGAGCCCGGGAGTTGGGCCCAGGATTACATGAGAGCTGTGGACAGCTTGTTGGGGCCAGGCCAAGAGTATCCCTCCTGCCGGATCGGCAGTCGCCTCGGGAGGCCCTTCCTGCCCGTGCCCACACGTAAACACGTGCACACACGTAAACACGTGCACACACGTAAACACGTGCACACGTGCACAGGCTCCGCGGCGCCCCTGATGCTCGGCTAGGTGACTCTGTAGTCGCACCCCTCTCCCCGCGTCTCATCAGCCTCTCTCCGCCCTCCACCCAGGACAACCGGGAGCGGGAGGTCCAGGAGTTGCGGCAGCGGCAGCGGCTGAAAGCCATAGAACAGAAGCAGCATTGCTGGGCGACCGGCGAGCTCGGGGGCTTCGTCCGCAGCAGCAGCGAGACCGACATGCAACTGCTGACCAAGAAGGGCACCGAGGACCTGTCCCCGTTCACGCACCTGAGGCCCGACAGCCCCTCCTTGCGGCCCCCCAACACCCGCCGCTCCCGCCACTCCCTGGGCGTCTCTGCTGACCGCGAGCTGCTGTCCTTCCTGGAGAGCGCCACCGGGGAAGGCCCGGACGAGCCCAAGTTCAACACCCTGCCCTGGAGGGGCCGGCGGCAGTCGAGGCCCCCGATTGCCGGCGTGCAGCCTGGGGACGGAGGGGACCCCACCTTTGCACACAGACCTCAGGCCTCCCCGGCGGGCCGGGAGCAGGCGCCCCCGCCCGAGCAGCAGGCCCCCGCCGTCCCCCGAGCGCGGCACAGGGCCGGCGCCCTCCGGAAGAGGAGCAGCGAGCCCGCGGGGCTGGGGGCCGCAGGGACCCCTTCGCTCCCGGGCCTGGCCCTGGGCGTTCAGGAGCACGAGCTGGTGACGGGGCTGGCCCGGTTCAGCCTGGAGGACCCCAGGGGCCCGCAGGAGACCGCGCGGCCGCCCCCGAATGCTGCTGGCCCGGGGCCGTGCCCGGGGCCCGGG